GCGATTAATACGATAAACAATTCGTCACAGTTTTCACGAAGAGACAATCTGACCCCAAATTATGATTTTTTTGTTTTGTTTTGGCAGAATCAACTAGGTTGTGCAATGCCTACAACTTGATGTAATCATTTTTAACCAAATCTACTGAAATCACCCAAATCACGCTGACCCCTGAGGCGCAATATTCAACAAACCGCATTTTTTGTTTTCAGGAAGAGACAATTTTGTCTTCCATAGATATAACGCTGGCAAAAAGATCAAAATCGTGGGCAAAACTGGTTTTCACGAAGAGAAAAGTTGACTTCAGCAATGTATACATATGGAACAATGTTGTACCTGGCACACGCGCTAAAGCAAAAGCGTGTACTGTGTGTGCCGCTTTCACGAAGAGACCAAAAGTCACACGAATTTTAGAGTTTCACGAACAGACAACCCTTTTTTTTTTTTACAAAATAAGCAACTTTAATTAAAGTCTAGAAATATTAGTTTTGTAGTTCTGTGTCATGTAACATCCCTCTCTTTCATGGAGTAGCATTGGTGAATTTAAAGGAACGCTAAAGTCTAAGAAATTAAGCGTTTGAAAAAGAGACCAACTTCAAATGCAATTTTCTCAAAACCTATGTTTTGCAATCCACTGAGAAAATTGTCTCTTCGTGAAAACTGTGAGGAATTGTTTTATACATGTCTGATTGGGTTGAAACCTTGCAGGTAGTTAGAAAGAGAAGTGTTATAGACGAAAATTGACCTCATGTGATCGTAATGTCATCTGAAAAAAGGTCATGTGACATTAAAAGTGCATCATTTGAAGCACCGTATCTCCTTAACACGTATGTTCACCCATTCCACTTACTTTGTGCGAATGCGCTAAAATTCGGCAAAGTCGCGATCACTTTCTGTTGCTTGTTAAATTGGCAACGCCCGCCAGCAAATGACTACACAAAAATCTATCTGCGGAGATCTTCAGCACTGTGTAAACGTTTGCTGAATTTATACCAGAGAAATATAATCAGGCTTCAGATTTCATTTTGTGATGTGTTTCTTGTTAATCAAAAGTGACATTTGGGAGAAAATGGGGTGAAAGATGTCGGTGTACGTAACATTTCTGAACGCAAAAAAGGGTATTTTAAACTTGAAATTTTGAATTGTTCTCCAGTTGGTCCACACATGCTGCATATCCTGATAACTGAAAGAGTGTTTGAAAAAGGTAACCATGTTATGTTTAGCTATAGCGAATTGTCCTTTGTTAGTTTGATCAATTTCAATTTCGGCTCTCTGTCTTCGGCAATCTGATTGTATTTATTTGTTGTAAAAATCATCTTTTCAAAATTTGCTTCAAATTTTGTGCAACTGGGTTCATATACTGCGTTGGTTTAATGTTGTTCAATCCATTTTTATTTATCATTTTATCTTTGTGAACTTTATTTGTTTGCTTTTTGTTAAAAACAATTATGATCTTCATCCTCGAAAAGAAATGTCGGGACGATGTTCGACGTCACCTGCCTCGAAATCCACAATAAAGTGATCGAGTACGCATGCGCTAGCTCTCAACTAAGTGGTGCACAAGGGCATGGGAGTGAACATACCTGTCAAAGATATGTCTGATTGCGTTGAAACCTTGCAGACAGATAGAGGGAAGTGTTACAGACGAAACTGACAGCATGTGATGATGACATCATCAGCTGACAAGTCACGTGACATTGAATGTGCACTCTTCAAAGTACTATATCTCATAAAGTATACACCCAATTCGAATGGAGCCTTCCGGATATCTAGAAAGGGAAGTGTTATATACGAAAATTCACCTGATGCAATGATGATGTCATCAGCTGACAAGTCACGTGATATTAGTGCCGTACTCTTCAAAGCACTGAAGAAACGGACCAATTGGGTTGAAACTTTGCTGATATCTTGAAGGGGGAGGGCTTTAGACGAACATTGACCGAATGTGATGATAACATCATCAGCTGACAAGTCAAGTAACATTAAAGGTGCCCTCTTCAAAGCACTATATCTCTTGAAGTACATGTGCAAATGGGTTGAATCCTTGAAGACATCTTGGAAGGTAAGTGTTATAGGCAACCAGTAGATTAGTTGTTCAAATGCAGGAAAAAGTGCAAAAAAGGTCATTTTCCTTCCTCTTCTGCCCCGAAGCCAATTCAATGTGTACATGTTCCACCATCGACATTTCCTTTGCAACTTCGGATCCATTCGAACTTGTACTGACGAACGACCCTTAGGCATAGTTGGTCCTGTAACAATGACGTCATGATGACGCCATCAAAAGATTTATTAATGGTTTTTCAGTATTTATTTCAGCCCCGAATTTGTACACGTTTTCGTGTGATAGAGCTAGTGACCTAGTGATAGAGTGATCATTGATTACCGTTTCTTCTCGTTAGGTAAAATCGCTTGACCCTTACTTCCGGTCCAAACTGGTCCTGACCGGAAGTGCTTTATAATTTGAAAGTAATGATAGATATGAACGTACTTCCAACGGTGTTAGTCTACGACAATATTGTTTTCATCAAAACATCTTCTGAAGACGTCATGCAACACTCGAGCACCCTCCACCGAAAGGTTATGAAATTTTTAAAAAAATCTATTTTGAACAAATGTCTGTGGCGAAGTTTGCCTGAATTGCTTGACAATCAGTAGATGTAACGACCTTTGTGCCTGTAATGTTTGTGCCAAAAAAATTAGACTGATGACATCATCAGACCGGAAGTTAAAAGGAAAAACCTTTAATTCATTAAAAATCACGAAAAAAATTAAATCCGACAGCTACAGTCTGAAATTGCTCATCAAAAAAGAGGGTAAGTATCTGTATCTATTGTCCAAGGCGTTGGGCTTGTTATATTTTTCATACACACCATGCACCAATAATGAAAAAAAAGCATTACGCTGCTGATATCGGCAACACGACCCGTACCGGTAAGACTCATAATGTTTTGTACGTGTAAAGCGTGTAACGGAGCCCCCCTGTTTGGGGGGATCTGGAAAAATGCCAAACACGTGGCAGGGAAGGCGTGTGAGTTTGTATTGTCATGCTCTGCTGTAGCAAGGAGGGTAGTGCTCCCACAGACCCTAATTTGATTTTGGCCTGTTCCGTGCTGGTAAATGCACCGTATCTTCCGAAGGGCATGTATGATTGGGCCCTGAATACACGGTGAGTGTTATATTTTGAACTACGGACTTAACGACATCTGGTCTATTCCCGCCCGTTCCAACTTCAGTTTTTATTTAAAGAAAAGAGTTTCCCGAAACAGCTCAGTGTTTTGACAACGTTTGTCTCGTCGTCTTCCGCCCAACATCCTATTTGTTTTGTACACGTTTCTTCCAACATTGACTTCAGTGTGTTTGCAACTTTGGATCTTCACCAAACTTACATATATGAAGGACCCTAATGTATGGATGGTTCTAGAACAATAACGTCACGAAGTGATTTATTATTCATTTTTAAATATTTATTTAACCCCATTGCCTTTGTACACATTTTCGAGGCACCATATTAGTAACTTGACGATCTTCAATCGTCATCAGAGTAACAGCAAACACAGACCTTAATACAAATATTAAGTCCAAATTTATGACGTCATGATGATATCATGATTTTTTTATTGATTTCGTAATATTTAATTTTTCACATTGGTGCACCCTCGTATTCCACCACGTAGAGAGGGTCCCATGAGACATGAGATTAAAGTTGCAGGTTTTCTGTATAGGTTTAGTACGTGTGTTTCTACTTTGCTCTCATCCATCTTAATGGCTGGGTAGCTTTATTCAACTTTAGCTGATGAAAATTATTGGTTTTTCGTCTTTTTTCGATAACCAACATACCTAAGAGTCAAAACATAAAGTAATCATTGGTACAAAAATTAAAACCTGACAAACATCGGGAACAATTCATATTCTCACGTGCAGCCAGCAGATAGATATTGTTGAAAACTTCCCGCAATGCAACGCAAATAATCTACCTCTTGGTGGCGCACTTTGTAAATGACTAGTATTGCCAGTTGGGGACAAAGAATTATTCTCCCTTGCTCTCTCTCTTACCCTAAATCATTGGTAGATGATTTATCAAATTATTTTATCGCTCACAGAATAAGTGCGAATGCACTCGACATGTGACTCCAAGCAGGCCTTATGGTGACATGAACAGATTAAAGAATGTAACGGTTAACCCTCGTGGCGCCCGTGTGACTAATGAGTGATACTGGCCAAGAATTTTCGATATATTGGTGGTAATTTACATGAACAAAAACGGCGCGTGTTCAAAGCGTGCATTCTCTGCAGCAACAGTGATATGAGAACATTCCATGATTTATAAGGAAATGGGTGTTCCATTCTAAAAATAGCAACATTTAAAAGACAACTACCGTTAAGCAAAGAGTCTCCCGTTGGATGAAACTCTTCATTCGGGCCGTCCAAAAGCAAGGTATTGATATGCAACACATAATCTGCAATCAGTCTTTAAAATGGGCAGCTTTGCAAGCATATAAAATTGCCTATGCTGGTGGTTTGGACAACCGAGGGCACTGTAGCTGTGATGCCTATTCAATTTACATGCCTCGATGCCAGTATTTGCTCTTTGAAACCATTCATGAGAAGGGGCTGCTTGTTGCCTTCTTGCCATTGCTCAATACGACAAAAATAATCATAGGAAGAGAAATCTAAGACAGAAAAATATCACAAATTCCTGGATTTTTATTCACAAATCACTATCAAATTGATGTTTTTCCTTGATGGGCATTACTGTTTTATCATGAATATGCATAAATAAAGAACTAATGAGCCTCAAAGTTCCCTTTAAAGTAGCAAAATAAATCTGACCATTTTATATAGACAGAAAGGTGTATAAGCAAGGGTTATTAAAAATTGCATTGCATTGACCCTTTAATTACATGGTAACCGTCAGTACCATTGTGCGTGATAGACAAGGTACTACGTCACGGATTCCATCATCAGCTAGTCGATGAGTGTCGGAAAACTACACCCACTGATCATCCCACACTCATGAAGTTCCACGCACGCGGTCCATGGAGATGTTGATTCGAAATGACATATATACCAGGCATCGCAGAAATCAAGGCATTTGACGCAACGCGCTCACGAGAGTCGCACATGGTCGGCAAGCGTACTGTCCATCACCAACCTCAGTGCTGCACATCACTGCATCACAGTCGGCCTACATCCCCTCCTCGTTTGTATGGAGACTGTGTCGTGAGTTTGACTCTTAACTGCCGTTAATCTCGTCTGCTAATAATCGCGCGCGAACTGAAGTTTGAGGGAGAGGACCACTTCAAACTGTACCCTAAGCAAGGGGAGCCTACTCTGTGGCAGGCCTTGGGTTTTTGCTCCTGACAAGGACTCATCAGATAAAACACCATGAGGTTCTGTTGTGTTGCAGCGGTCCTGACCACGGTCTGCGTGCTAGCTGGGTGCCTGGTGGCCCGGGCGGCACCTAGAAAGGGCGGGGCTGGTGAAGGCGTTGATCCCTGGTGGAAACGGAATTTTTCGCCCCAAAGCCCAGAAGAATCGGACGGGGACTTCAACACAAATGGTCTCGTACAAAGGGTGAGTTTGTCCTTTGCTTCTTCTCCCCCCGAAAATCCACCAACTTTGTTGAGAGCATGCTAACTTGAGGAGATAGAAATCATTGAACACAACCTAACAGGACCCCCTGAAACGCAACAAATCAAACTCCGAACTGTGTTCTTGCATGGTACTAAATAAGATCACAGGCAGGGTTCAATATACCAAATCGTACACTTCTTCCGGTGTTTTCTGGTACAAGGCAAAAGAGTAGAAGACGGCATCGAACAGAAATTGATTTTACTGTCAATGAGACTGGTTTTCAAAAAGGCTGTAAGAACGGCCTATACCTTTTCCATTAATTCAAGTGAGACTTCATAATGCAAGCCTTGGCAAGTGCCCTCATAGCATAATGTGCAACTGCGTCACGCGGAAAACGGTCTTAGTTGAATTACCGCGCGAGGGAAATTTAATAGCTTGTAAATATCGAGCGAGCTGGGTGAAATGACATAAAGCGTAACCGATTGTTAGCTAGAAAACCTATCCCAGCCAGATTCTGCATGAGGTACCGTAATCCTAACCTTTAGAGCTTACAGCATTGATCGAAGCGGAAACCAAGACAACTCTTGCACGTTTGTACTGATACACATTGCGAAGAAATTAATTGACTAATATTCGTCACAAAACTGAAAACCATTTGGTACAAAACAAAACAAGAAACGTCACTGTGCCATACTTGAGCTCTCAAAGGGGTTGTGAGATATGATATTTAAAAGTATCTTTGGGAATTACATGCCACCTCTTGCTTAATTATATACTAAAAGCTCATCGATTCCAAATGCAACCACCATGAAAATCTTTTGTTAAACGCATTATGAAGACGATAAACGTCCGATCAACGGTAACCATGAGCTAGAAAGTCAGCATAGTGCCACAGTTAATGGAAGTGTACCATTTACAAGAGTTTAAAAATTGGATGTGACGCTGGGCAGCATAAAGATTTGCCATCTGTGATCAAGTACATTTGTTTCGAGCTCTTAAGAAGAAAATTGTTCGGGTAGAAGCAATGAGAAACACTTATCCGGCGGTCCTCCTTGAGGAAGAACGCGAAAACGAACCCACTAATTCTTGTTCTCCTTCCGAAAACCAACTCAAAGGTCTACTAAAGTTTTTTTCTGAGCAAGAATCTCACTGACCAAATGAAAACGCCGATGCCTGAACTTGCTGTACAAGAAACACGCACCATGGGGGTGGCTGATCTGGCCTAGGACATTCCACAACCGGCCTTTTTTTAAAGATACGTTGGTAGATGCAGCTTTGCAATATGAGCATTGCTTGAGTCAATGTCGTCACAATCTTGCACGGATTCCGCATGAAGCCTTTTCTAAACGGATGTTTTCCCGCACGCTGTTGGAGGGGGTCTACAATTAAATATTGTTTGTTCTTGTGTTAAATATTGTCTAGATATTTTCCAGCTGATTATTTGATGGCATGGAAGTTTTAAGTCTTGAAAACTTTCCCTGGAAGTTCTGTATTATCGGGGATTTCATAAGGATGATGGACCACGCGAACACGAAACACGCGCTTGCTGTGTGCTTTTCATCATATATCTCTACGGTCGGCAAGATGAGATCGGATCAGTCTCACGCCTCTTATTTTCACTGACGTCGAGAGCACACTTCGTGACTTGAGAAGTACTGCTTGCACTTTCAGCTATACATGGACCGTATTACTTTGGGTGGATTCTGTTGGCTGTCTTGGAATTAATTAAAACTGCCGCGGACGGACACATTTCATTTCCTGGATACCTTTGTTGACTACAATCATTACTTCTGATTTTGATTTATTCAAACTGGCGATTAATCCGAGCTAAGAATGAGAGAAATAAAAACAAGAGAAATAGCCTACAATCAAACGCACTTTGAGCCAAATTTATGATTACAGTGACAGAGCGTGCTATCGGGTTTTAAATTCAAGCGCAAATTAATGCAATTTGGGAAAAATGGTTGACGCTTTAGACACACGCAACATGAAGGCAATCCGCCTCAGGAAAAGCTTCCTAAAAGGAAAAAAGCTTCTTTTCTGTTTCAGTGATCGGGTATTATCGACTTCCGGTTTGATGACTTCACAAAATTTCATGTCTGTCAAAATCTTCCTTGCAATTACATCCGGGTTGATGACCATCGCGTTTTGGAAAACTCCTTTCAATTTTGCTGTTCCCCTTCACAGGTGTGCGGTGAATTGATTTTAAACATAACTCCCATGGATGAGGCATACGAGAGTGATCTTCCCCATGATGATATCATCAGCCCTTGTTCATTACTCTTAGCATATTACTTGTAAAACCCTCAAGGAGCCAGGTTATTTTGGCCCATCTCACAGCCGGGGTGGATTTTGCCCCCCCCCGGTCATTTTTGAAACTTGGCGTGCATGTAACGACACTCATCATTACAAATGAAAAGGTCTTACGTTATCAGACATATGGTTTTTCCAGTAACGGTCATTTGAAGTTAAAGGCTTCACTCGTGCTAGTCCACGTACATGGAGCACCCCAGTGGAAAAGTACAAGTAGACACACTTTTGGCTGACCTGTCTCGGAAAAATGGGCGCTGCGTAACGATGGTATGTTCAATTTTTCGTAAAATTGGTTTCAAAATGACTGGAAAGGTTTACTCTTTCAACTCTTAAAGACTCAGTTCCCGATAAATGCACACCAGGAAAAAAATATCGAGGGGGCGGATGTTTGTCAGGATTAGGCCTACCAGATCGCAAAAATAAAACATGGTACATCAAATCTGGTTCAAAAGTTATAGGCAAAACATTTTCTTTAATTAATCACACCTTAATAAAGGACGGCGTAACAGTGACGTAACAAAAGGAACATTTTGGGGAAAATGTTTCGTGCGTTCCAGGTTTTATGATTACACCATAACCCTATAAGAAATCAGCCTATGTTTTGAAATTTTGTTAACGGCATATTGTCACGACACAGAGCATGGCACAAGGTTTTTCTTATTCCTCTCACCACGTTGTAGGTAAATATTGATTTCTTGGCCATTCCAAGCAGCGTTATTCAGGCGATGGCGACTGCTTTGTACTTTTTTCCACCCGCCAAGTTGTAATTGTGTAAACTCAGACGACTGTGATCTAAAGGAATCAATCTTTGCTTACAGTCATGACTGTAGTCAATTTCAAAGATATTAATGGGAACTTAAAGGTATTAGTTCACGGCAAAGTGATTTTGTTTTAAGCGGAAGCTGCGAATTTCTCGCTGTGGTGCTCAGTTTCACGGGATAGCTACATTTCTTAAAGAGCAGTATTAGTTCAAGGAAAACTGATTCTTTTTAAGCGGAAGCTGCGAATTTCTCGTTGTGGTGCGCAGTTTCACGGGATAGCTACATTTTGTAAGGCGCACCATTTACCATTAAGCCACAACAAAGGCTGTATTTTATTAACCCTAGAGGACGTATCTGAAGTTAATTCAAATCTTATCATGTTGAGCTGGCATCTTGCCACGTCTCAAAAATGAAAGTTTAAAATCTACAAATATTATGACTCAATGCAATCGGAGCAAATGATCACAAAATAATTAACCAACGCATATAATAATTCCCTTTCAAGACACAAACGACTCCTCGTGCGAGTTTAATGGTGCACAACCAAACCAGATTTCAAGTTCATCGCTCTCCTAGAATAGCATATGAAATATGCTATTCACCCGCACAATGCTGGGAAGGTATTTATAGACTTTTCAAACAAAGAAAACGGTAGTGGAATATTGATATTGATAAAAAACTCAAAATGAATGAGAAAAATTGGAGTGAAAAACTTCACGAATAACATTATTGTTGCAATTTTAAGATGTAAATGACGGGAATATAAAATAAACAACTGATTTCACAGGCCAAACAAAATTTTTATGATCATGAGCAAAGATGTCGAGGCGAACCAACAAAAAAAGCCCTTCCAGTTGGTGTAGTTTTTGTGGCATATCGCTCGTACACCTTTTGTGCGTCAAAATTAAATTAACTGCTGTGCCAAACTATAGGTTGCTCTGCGAAGAATCAAATTAAATGCACACCCCTTTCTGCAAAACTGCACAGGGAAAGATCGCCTTGTTTAATTAACGGTCAAGTTGCATTCTTATCATCAGTGACAATACGAAAACGCGCGTCAGGGCTGATGGCTATAGGAGTTTGAAAGGGTAAAATGAGTGTAATAATATTTGAAGAAACACCTCGACAAGAAAATACTTCCCCGTAGTATGACGGTAAGGTTTGTCAAAAAAAGTCATCTCTCATTCTCATGAAATAACACAAGGGTAGTGGACCCCCCTTTGTTGTCGTTGAGAAAGCAATACTCTACCGAGTGACCCACACCTGTCCAGATGGCACGTGGACAAACCAACTACCTTACCGGAAGCGTTTCTAGAAGAAGAAAAAAAGCACACAGAATTAAAAAAAAACTCCCACAAAAACTGAACAACAGCTGTTCTGTCGCCACTGCAACATGCAGAACCTCTAGCAGCAACGGTTCGGTACACCGTTGAATGGCTCACATCCCAGTGGCACGGGTCCTTCTCCCTTGAACTGGATGTTGAGTCAGGGTATGGGTCACCCTCGATCCCTAATGGTCTCAGTTGAGATCCCAACAGGTGCACAATCTGACAGTAAAGACCATTGCACACAGACCATCCTTAGACAAGTAAGCAGCTCCCGCTCCCAGTAAACTACGCCACTCACAAAGACAGAGCCGGTTCAAGTCAGGCAAGCACATAGTTTGCTTTCAGCAAAATCGTCCTTACTACCCATCTCGCATTCAAATTGACGATGACAGACTTGTTCCAAACTGAAGCCCTCGATAACTTATGGAAGTATATCCTCGCAATGAGTGAAAAATAAACTTGAAAAATCCTTGATATTATTCTCATAGTTCAAAGCACTGATTAACACGATATGCATGCATTTACGTAGGATATGATCATTCATGGCGACGGCGTCAGATAAGGTCGTATTTATAAGACAAATATCCTGCGACGTGATTGGTGGACAAAGTTATCGCTTACCTTGGTGACGATGCATATATACTCTTTCCCCGAATCACACGTCGCCAAGAAGAGAAGATAAATTTCATGGTCAATATGTGGGTTCGTGTGTCGCCTCTCCACCGATTATCTGTACATAGTTTCATCAGACGTGCGCGTGGCAAGCCTGCCTCAGGCAGTGTGGAAGAAAACCCTGTACCAACAACATCAAGTGACCTGCAGACGATGGAAAAACCACTTCGTTTGTTTTTGTAGCAAAACACAAGAACCAAGCCGTAAGTAAAATTAGCATATACAAGACACAGACTTCTTGGTTTCAAATTACGTATCTGACTGCGTACACGCAAAATCATCCTAATAGACAGATGAATATTATTTTACATATCAAGCTAGGCACACAGACAAAAATTAATCACTGACAGATATTTTTGGAAATCTGTACATTTTTCAATTCCGCACTCAATTTGTATTTTAATACCGGTACTACTTGGAAGAAAAACTAAAGCCTTTAACTGGAAACATCGGTGACATTTTAAGCATTTAATCGTTTCCTACAATTTGTATTTGTATTTTAACTAAGCCCAAAACCTGCATTACAGGTAATTACTGCGGCAGCATGCACGCTCGCACACAGGTGGTACGCGCGCGTTGGAGCTTCTTTGGGTGCTGTGACTTGGCATAATGCACGCACAACAAATAAAGCTTGAAGGCGCCTTTCCATACGTTTTTGATTGCGTTGCGTACACGATGCGTCATGCGTTTCACTTTCAGGGACACAAAAATCGACTCCATGAACATAGCACATGTGTGCGTTGCGTTCGGTCGTCCAAATCGCTCTGGGAATGATTTGGACGGATACGCAACGCTTGGCGCAAGTGTTGACACGCATATGGAAAGGCACATTAACGCTAGTATGCATTTGCGCGAGCGTGGTGTCAGTAAACGATGTTTCCTCGGATCAGTCTGCACACCTCTTATTTGTTTTGTATGGGCAGCCAAGTTCGCCGTTGATTGGCTGCAGCTTTTGCTCAAAGATGCACGTCTGCCTCTTCAGGGTTTAAATGAAAGTAATTTTCAGTCAGTATTTCCGTGGGATTTTGAGAAATTTGTGAATCATTTGGTTCTGTACTCACGGCTAACCACGGTTGGCAAAGCCAAAGAAAGGTCTAAAGATATAATCCAACCACCATAGTGAGAAGCCATTGCCAAGGCATCACCTCGCTCGCAAACACGTGGTACGCCTCTCCGACTATTTCGCCTTCAGCAGGAGCACTCCCTAATTTGATGGTAGCGATAACGTGTATTTCAGGGTCGTTTGCGAACCCATGAAGTGCAGTTCCCCACCTTCGTTTCTAGGACAATTACGTTCTCTCTTGGTCCTGCTCGAGCCGGATAGGGTGATATAACCTGCCAAGTGCGACGTGAGAAAGAAAGCGCACGTGAGTGTGTGGCGCTATCGCAGCGAGGGCGTTTTACTGGATTAGTCTATACCAAAATTGTATTAAACTTAGCGTCTTCTATGGTCCTTTGTATCTTCTGCATCTTCGGTAGAGACTTTTTTACCACACAAAGCCCAAGTCTTCAAAGTAGAAAACTTACTGTTTCGAGTTTAATGTGTTTGTGCTGCACTCAAATGCTTGACGAAACGTCAAGAGGTCGCTTCGATACGTTTGAAACCCTATCATTTACCTGCTTCACCCGGCCGTGTTGGTCAAACAGTGCAATAAAGTATAGTTGATGGTAACTGATCCGCTGATGTACGGCCAATAACTTGAATAGCATATTCCCGATTTAGCAATGATTGGGTGTTACATCAGTAATCTCTTTGTAACTGCGTCCGTATCAATTTCGGACAACAACCTCTCTAATACGGCGTAGCAAGCGATGATCGCTTGCCTTTTCGCATTCATTGCTGTCAACGTTTATCACTGATGGCCCCAGGGGTGTTAGCCGAGTTTCACCAAGACTTCAAAACTTTATTTTGTTTTTCCTTCGCACTTCAAACATGAAAACCAAGGAATAAGGTCGCAATTATTTCAAACAGCGACAATGAAATTACTTTGAAGAGCTCTTCATTGTAAAGTTCACGATTCTTATAATTCTTTGGTGGCATTATAAACTTCATCTAATGCGGTTTAGTGCTTTATTGATATTTTAAGGTGAGTTGTACTTTAAGATTAAAAGAATGAGTTCTAATGTCAAAAGGCTAACCACTTCAATGGTTGCAATTCAAAGGTTGTTTTGCCATCGTGGCATTTGGAAAGCCTTCACATAAGTAGTTGAAACACTAACTAATAACATTTCTAATTTACGGTGATGGAGTGAATTTCTGAGATACCAATCAGGCAACTTGTGGACTTGTGCTCTTTGGAAATACCAAATAACAAAATGACGTTTGTTGAATGTTTCATGACATCACGATGAGGTTATCGACTGCATTATCCACGTCCTCTATTATACTTGCCTACATGCGTAACCTCTTCTTAGAAATGCCACAGCGATGACACAAAGAGAAGACAAAGGAACGGCTGAAAAACATTGGTCAAAATGCTTCTTGAATGAATCCAACCTTTTTTTTTTAAATAGCAGGGATCAACAGTCACTCTAACATCAAAACGCATCTTTAGAAAGTTGTTACTGGGTGTAAAAAACTTGCTAATGCTCGTATTCTTTCATTACAAATGTTGTACACCTGATTCGTCTGTGGCTCAGCTCGGGTTTATGCTACAAAACCGGGACGATTTGACTCGAACCAACTTTTTTTCAGCATAACTTGCTCTACTACTGCTAGTAAGAGTGGAAATAGATTATCCCCGTCCAAACTAGCACGACAGACAATTACTTTTCCGGTCTGCTGTTGCCATTATAAGGGCCAACGACGGTAGTCGTTAAAGCTGTGGCACGAGATCTTTTACGACGCCGTTGCTGGGCATGCGTGGAAGCCCCGACACCAGCATGTCTGCCTCCCTCATGGAAGAATCCTCGGTCTCCAGGTAATAGCAGTCAGTGCCAAACAAACCTCTCCAAAAAACCTAAGGAGACAGACTTAGTGGGTGGTCGCATCAGACTAATCTAATTGTTGCGCGACGATCAGTCCCGTATGTGGTTTTGAAAATAGCAAAAACTAAAGGATACTTGGGGAGGGGGAAAATTGAAGCGGAGATGTCTAGATACGGGCAGGGTATCGAGTTGCGGGCGAATGCAGACTGTTTTGCATATTTTTTTTCTTAGCTCAGTTAATGCATTGACACGGGCTACATTGCTCGTTTCCTCTCGGGTATTTGATTGCCTAATATCAAGGCAATTCAAAGCATATTTGCAGCTCTTTGAAAAACTTGCCAGGGCTGTAAAGGGGCACAATAACTATCCCTGTCCTTTTATATCACATGGGGCAGGTGGTATAAAGATGACGTACAGGTGTTCCTTATCATAAACGGGGAACGGTAAAGGCGTCTATGACAGCCAGTTTTCAGTACGTGTGGTTATTTTATTTCAAAACATCCTTTATAAAGATTTATTTTGTGGGCAAGGATTTCTAAGGAGCCTCCGCCAAGGATAAAAGAAGCAATGAATAACCTAAGCAGCTGCTTATAAAATGTTTCTTCCTCGAATTGCACACAAAATTTACACACTTTGGTCGAAAATCTTTTTTACAACATCCGATTATTCTGTACAAGCCTATTATCTTTGGACAGGGGATTTAGCTCTGAGTGACTCCACAGGTCAAAAATTGCCGACGTACATACCTGTTTAGCATCTTACTTGCTACAAAGAACAAGGTGACAAAATTTGGCGCGCGGAGTGGAACCTCTTGCCCAATGCCGATGGAAAACGCTTGATCCATCGCAGTGTTTTCTCAACAGTAATATTTACTCGACTGACGACACTTCACGCCTCGTAAACCAATTCTCGCCAATTTCCTCTGGAGTCCAGCTTGAACAAACAATCGATGTTCTCCGACTTGCGGTCGTGCCAGGACAGAAAAGAGGGCTTCTCCCCTTGCTGTGGTCCGTGGGACGGGCACTGGAAAATCCGAAACACAAAAAACCTCCTGACTGAGGCTGAGCCGCCGGAAAACCGGTTATGGGGAAGCGGAGCGTGCTCTGCATGTAATGAGAAGGATTACTCGCCAAGGTGGTTGTCGTTAAATAACCACACCGTGCCCTGTAATATGGTGACTTGAATTTTTTTTCCGAGGCCCAGAGAGAGGGAAACTACGAAGGGAAATAGCAAGATAGCTTATTTGTGACGCGTTTTGGAGGGTTGCCAAAAGAAATCAAAATTTGTCCTTTTTAAATTAATCAAAAGCAACCACGTAGCTGAAGGGCAGATTTGAATTCAACCAGAGCACAGACTGTGACTTGGTTTATCTGTCCTCTTAAAGAGGAAAATAAGGTTGGAAAATTTGCCCAAAAAAATATCAACGGGCTTCACATCCAGTGGAAGCATTTTATTTCACTTAGATGGCACATGATAATTCTATCTATATTATACAATAATTTTATCTCTCATGCAGAAGAAAGATATAGATTAAGAGCTCTAACTTCTGACATTGCCCCTATAAATATTCCGGCACAGCTGCAGTTCACTGTCCTCCAGTCATGTCCAAGATATTTTCACAAAGTCCCCGTTTTATGAGTGGAGAGGAACGATGTTCCAGCTGCGAGCGCGCGGGAAAGCGTTACCAATTTGCAACACGTGTACCAACACACGTGATTACACAATATTTACAGTTACCACGCACTGAGTCAAGCTGACGTTTGAAACCCGACGTCCAATGCATTTGTACATCGTTTTGAAGATTATAGTCACCCACAAGTAAAATGTACATGAGGTTAATTGAAACTGAAGCACTAAGTACCCGAACAAATACAACAACCGTTACAATTATAAACAAAACAGCCGTTGATTTCAATTTAAAACTCAATAAGAGAGAAATCAATGTCTAGAAACTACCAAGAACCTGGCTTTCTGCGCCGCATGGAAAATAATCAGGTTCCTTGACGTTTTTTTCCGATTACATGATGTTTTACCAGGTGAAGAGACGGACACAGTTTGCCCTGCAAGAGGCGAGCATTGGCACGCCTCGAGGGCGGAGGAATTCAAGTGAAAACGTGAAGGGTTCGGCGAAAATTGAAATCACGCAGTAGTGACTGCGAAAACATGTTACACATTCTCGTTCGTTTTTACTTTGAAACTAAGTAAATAGCACAAGTGAGTTGCCATGCCATAATTATGCCCCGTGAACAGTGAAACAGCAAAATAAACATAGCATAAGACATTGGTGCATTTACCTTTTCCTTTGCTGGAATGCTCATGGAGTCTTTCACAACATCGGAACACAGTATGACAGTTCAAAGTGGTAGGAGCCAGCTATTGAAAGAGAGTACAAGAGCAAGAAGACAGATTTTTTTCAGTTAGGAATTCTGTAAAATAGAAACGCAAAAACGCAACAGGCAATTCACAATCACTTTGAAAAGACTGTACCATTTGAACATCTTATAAGACACTATAGTATAAAGCTTCACATATTTCGAAAAGTGAAAAAAAAGTTAATTTTTCAACATCAAAGCTTTATCACAACATGTAGCCTAACTGTATATATAAAAAATAGGGATTTTATTTTAACAATGCTTCTATGGCATATGTACGTTCAAACTCTACATTGGTACTCTCTCCTTAGCCCCACAATGTCCTCGTTTTGTTGTTTTAGGGACAAACTTGTACAGTCACGCACAGCTGTCAAATAATCTCACTCAAAGTCACTGTGTGATACCAATCATTTTTATCCTTCTTGCAAACAAGCTTGTTTCCCATATATTATAGTCCAAAGACGTCGTAATATAAGTGTTGTTTACTTTTCGTGCTGCGGCAGACACCCACCTTTCTCAATTTCGAGTACCTAGCCAGCCCATTTTTTTAGTTTTAAATGTCGCTCACAAGGATAACGCATCACCTTAAAATGGGACAGAGTGGAACGTGCTTCCAATCTGAAATGGAAAATCAAAAATTCAACTAATTTAAGATTCTTTCCACGACTGAGAAAGAGTGGGGATGTAAGAAAGACGAGGCAAGTTTTTTTTTTAAATGTGCCTGTGCGTGGGGGTGTCGTAACTGCATGACCGTCTAGGGAGAGAGATTTCGGCAGCCATCCATCATGCGCTGCAAAAACACTCAGGGCACATGACAATTCTAGCTGGTGAGATTTAAGGGGTAGCCTTAAAGCATCCACTTGTAAGATGGATCGCCGGCTATCAATTACAATTAGTCGGGCAGTTACATTCTAGGGTATGTCGTTGAAGGGATTGATGCCCTAACTCGATTAAACTGTGAATTATGTGAAGACCTATCAAAGCAGGCATCTTCATGGGACTAGGGCCGCGCGTCGATGCACGCAGAAGAACGACGGGGGGGGGGGGAGAGGAGACAGCACGAATCCCAGATTTATTTCCCTGCATGTATTTCCTTCAGAAGGTCGTATCTGATTTGGAATAAATCAAGCTTCTTCAGGCGGAGAATGCAGTTAGCTTGCAAAATGGCGAAAATATTGGTAGAACGGATCGACTACTGGGAAGAAATATTTCTTCCTTGAATTTCGCATGACGTGAAACAATTATCCGCTAGCTGATCTTAAATATTTAGAATGAAACCGTCAGAGACCATCGCAGACGTGTTCAACTTATGCGACATCTGAAACGCTCACCCGGCATATTTCAACCAGGAAGAACTCCGTTTAACAAACGTTTACGGGGATCGACAATGCGTGGAAATATCGTCCGACAAGGAATGTCCTTGTGTCTGCGTTTTGTCTGTAATGCTGCCTATGGTCGTCACACAACTTGTCAGCACAGCCAACACAGCCATGAAACAAAACACAAGGGATGATCTTAACAGCAGAGGGAAAGAATCCTCTTTCCTGGACTGCAAAGATGAAGAGACGATTATACTCTCGTGCTTTCAGACACAGTCTGGGGACCTCTACTTCAGATCGGTGCCAGACAATCTCAACATTTCCTGATGGGGAGGGAGGAGATTGGCCAAGATTCAATCAAGAAAACCTGATCAGGAGGAAGCCAATGTAGGTTGGCCGAACGTGACCAACCTCGCCTCCAGTGAACTGACCAACATACTCTACATGAGATAGCATTTGTCAACAAAGCCGAAGGGTTTATACTGACAGATGATGGAGATACCAGATTTGGAATTACAGATCCTTTTCCGCACAATGCCGTTCCCGTTCAGCATTGTGGACTTTTACCATTCGCAGATATTACTAGCCTCCACAACTGCATACTGTAGTGGGTAACAGGCGCCATATTTTTGATCTTGAGAAAGCGTTCAATATTATTGACTATACTCTTCTATCTCAACTCTGCGATAATCAGTCAAGGGGCTGGAATCAAAATGGTTTGAATCATGCCTCTCAGGAAGAAACAGGCTACAGAGATCGACGGTGCAAGGACCCACAAGGTTCAATTCTTGGTCCCCTCTTTTTCATCAAATATATTTATATTCTTTCTGTGTATTATAAATACCAGGATTTATAATACACACCAAGGAAAAATGGGCATAATCATTTGCCGACGATAGCAAGATAACGCTCGACGACACAACCCTTGATGATGTCGAATCTGATGTTAGAGTGGTGAATGGCCTTAATCTAGTAACCCAATGGTTGATGGGACACGAACTTACGCTTAATGTGAGTAAAACTAAATTCATGATTTTTGGACCTTATCCACAGTTTCTAACCTTTTCTCAGGTGCATATCACATTAAATATGTTAATCGAACAAGTTCATTTGTACAAGTATCTTGGGATTATTCTTGATGAGCATATGTTTTGATGATCACACAGATGTTACTGCCAAAAATATCTCCAAATTCGATAAACTGTTCAACGTTATCATGATCTTACCCTTTGACTGTTACGATGTTGCCTGGTCAATTTGTGCAAAATGCCACTCTGACAAGATTCTGAAATCGTTGCTATACACCTGTCTTGCCAGATTAATCCTCCACGCTCACCGTAGAACGCATACCCAGGAACTACTTCGGGTGTTTTGATGTTCCTTATTGCCAGCTCGTTGGAAGAACCACAGCATATTTACAGTGTATCAATGTATGAATAACCTGAGTCCAGCAAATCTCAAATCATGCATTATTTAACAAAACCACGCCACCGTACCGTAACACTCACGCCAAATCAAACAGATCATTACATTTTGTCTGTTTCCAAAGACCTGTGATGCCAAGCATACTTTCCAACACTTTTGAACTCTGGAATGGATCAAATTAATACCAGGGCCCAGAGGCAGGTAAAGTCATTTCATTAGTTCGAATATCTTCTCAATTAATTAATTAATATTCATTTTTGTGTTTCATTCTCACATCACACTTTTTTGTTTGTTTTGTTGTTGTTTGAAATGCTAATTTTAATACCAGTTCCAAACGTATCTTGAAGATTTATTATTGTTTTACTTTTCCTGTTTTACTTTGTTGCCTAATTTCGTGTTTTAATCATGTTGTTCACTTCGTCTATTTACTTTTTTGATACCTTTACCAGCCAATATAACCAACTACCCAACCAGCCAGTATAACCAGCTACCCAACCAGCCAATATAACCAACTACCCAACCAGCCAATATAACCAACTACCCAACTTTTCCTTTTGCTGTTTCATTGATTATAAATTCCTTCATCTCTCCTAGTATCCTTATTAGCTACTCTTTTGATTACATTGGTCGTTCAATGTGTTCCCCCCTTACCCTTCCGTATTCCCTCTATATCCTTTTAGAGAACATGTTTTACAGGAATAACTGGGAGTTTAAATCCATTCTAACGGTTTAACGACGAAGTCTGGGATCGTCTTTCCAACTCCTAAGATTAACAACGATATGACTTTTCGTCGTGCAGTTTCGGGAATATGCTCAAAAATGAGACGGGGATTTGAAAGACCATCAGATGCAAATGGAAAGTGAAACCGCCTTTCACATTCACCGCTCTTTCGTTCGGCTTATAGGCACGAGTGCTAATTGTTTCCGTCAAATGTGTAATGAAACCATTAGCACAGTATTGTATCCGGCCACTTGTTCAAATCGCGCCAATTTAGCTGGCGTTTTTGTTTAGACATTGCTAATCAAGTCCTTAATGTGCAGCACTCGCCGCACAAAGCACTGATGAGGTAACAAGGTGCAACACCTTTCGCTGCCCCAGTCCCGACCTCTATAGAGTGCCAAAGTGAATACGTCACATGTACACTTATGTGTGTAAAAAGCATTTGCGAGAGTACCCGCGCGTGAACCAACGCGCGTGCGTACTCCATTTGTTTGTACAGCATCTACTGGTTCTAAATGACGTCACATTTGGGTACTCTACAGCTGCTCGACTCTGCGAGGTCAGGTCATGCCGCTGTTAACAGAGCAGCCCCCAACGCTACGGGCACAGGGTCACTGATTTCATTACTGCCAAGAAATATGTAGTAACGATTTGCACGTCGAACATAGCTGTGCCGAAAGGTCACATGGAGATTGCCATTCACAGGAGACCCATCATTTGTCATTAATTTCCAATGAAAGTTACTGAAAATTCCAGCCCTAATGATCACATAAAACTGAAGGCAGATGGAGCCACTTAATTCTTAACGGCTTCGAAGTTACAAATTTCTTTCTTTGCAATCACCAGCCGTTTTCCTCCAAAATAACCGGTATATATATTAAATGGTATATGAAAGTGAAAGTAAATGTTATTGAATCACAATATCATGTTAAGGCACGCATTAACGTTTTGAATTATATTTTGTTATAAGGGAACCTTGAAAGGAATTAGGCCTAGTTTCTCATAACCATTGAATATACTTGAAGGCGTTGCAGTTTCGTTTCCAATGATAGATAACCTGCAATGAAATCAGCTTTGTTGAATTTGCAAGTGACAAACAATACAGGGATAGGGCCTATGCTATCAAAGAGGAAGAACTTCTCAACATTTCCTTCACAAAACCCTTAAAATTCTAAATTAGCTTGTTTCTGACTACATATGAAAGGCGTTTTCTTTTCGATTATTTTCATTCGTTAAGACACGCAAACCCCCCAAAAAGGCTTTAATAGAGGTAATGGTGATACTTGCTAATTATTGATTGGAGATACGCTGCATTATTCTCGCTTCCAATTTGTTACAAGCTAAGAAAAAGCAATCAGGTATCAATTCAGGTTAAGGAATAATGTGTACATGTAATATAAAAGCATACCTTGTATATAAAAGGCAATTAAGTTTCGAACCATAGTTGTTTTCACAAAAACAAAAAAACAATGTAACTCCTATGAGCTCGTTTCTGACCGAGAATCTGTTGAATATTGGGGTCAATTCGTGACACCA